ATTTTATCAGGATGTAGCATAAGACTTTGGAAACATTCCATAGTAGCGCATTGAATTTTGGTGTTGAAAAGTGGAAAGAAAAACAATTCTGATACTTTATGATGGTGTTATGGATGACTGAACCTTGGTAGTAAGTAGAGGAGCAAAGGACCTACTGTGAAGGTACCGGCTGTTGTCACAAAAATGTATTTTTTGTACAAAAAAGGAATCCTTTCAATCCCTGTTTTTTCCTACTGTCTTTTTAGATAGAAATAAGTATTTCATCTCTGTTACCTGAATATAAAGAATCTAAATATATACAAAATGATAAACTGCAAAGATGAGGGATATAAACATGATTTACATAATCATGAGGTAATACTTAACCAGTAGTTTCTTAGAAATTTTTAATTGTATCACTTGGTGAGTGAATTTTCTTTTACTTAAAGGAATACTACATGCTAAGCACTAAGCACCGTTATACTGATGGTCAAATCTTTTCCAAGTCCATCATAGTCATTCTATGATCATGATTCTTATTTGCATTTTGAGCAGCTCATACCACTTTGGCAGGGCAATATAGCTTAAATGTGTATTAAGGCAGTATATGCCCATTTTAAGGTCCTTCTGCAATGTCAGAGCAGTATAAGTTCATGCAAATGCAGGTCACACAAGCCAAATCGTACAGTCCTTACTCTAACAGTAATCTCCCACTGGTGTTGACATAGTTTTGTCGTAGTTGGACTTGAGAATGAACAACGGTGAGTTGTTGAAAACCTGCCATGAGCCACAGTCCTGCCAGCGTTTGATACTGTGCTCACCAGAGCCCGCAAGCCCATCGGATCCAGGAGCCGCTGGGTTCCAGGGAAGCAGTACAGCCGGCCACATTGCTGGCAGCCCCCGGCCCTCTGTGTGAGCATGGTAATGCAACACAAACGGGCAGGACTACCCCCATGCGGAGCTGGTGCTGTAGAATTAAGATTTAACCAGATAAAGCTGAGATAGTTAATTATAGAACTATTGGGAAATTATATCTGCACTTATACGTTGAAAACTATTGAGACTAGAGTGTGTCGCCTCTGCTCATACTGACGGGTACTGAGTCTACCCTGAGCAGAGGCACGTAGGGAGCAAAGTGCTGGAGTAATGCTGGGGGCTTCCTCGGTCTGGCCTTTGAAATGCAAGTGGTGAGATACATCTCTGAAAGGATCAAAGATAGGATTTATGTTTAGATTGAAACAAGAGAAAACAAGCTCACTGGAGTGAGCTTGATCACAAGCTCGCTGATCACTGGAGTTGGCTGTTCACCTAAGTTTGATGATAATACCCTCATTCTGTTTGAAAGTGGGATTTTTTTACAATTCTATAAAAATTCTATTTGAAACGAAGTCTCCTCATTCACAAAAACATTAGGTTCCATGAATCCATAACCAGTTAACCTAGGACACTGACATTTGGATCGGCCTTCAGTCCCTAATGAAACAGTTCAGCTGTTTTCACTTGGAAAAGTCAGCTCTGATGCTTTGCAATATTTGTGGCAAACTATCCCTGTAACAAACTGAATGCACTATGGAAATGTCATATAGAGCTCACTGTGCAATATTGAGTCAATTCACTGTACACATTTGATCAAAAGATTAATATTAATGTTTAGATAGTATTTATTGGTAAGATGTTTGTTTCAAACATAATACATTGTGTTGATACTTATGAATGGCCTAAATAAAATAAATTGTATTTTACATACTGAGAACATGTATATAGTCGTTTTTCCCATCAGTTAGGTACTTGTAGCTATTTTTTCTGGGTTTTTTGGCATTTACTTTTTGCACCGTACAGTTTCTTAGATCATTTGTCCTGCAAAAATCTAGGGTGAAATCCAGATCTACCAGAAAATTGCTTCTGGAATATCTTCTGGAAATACCCAAGGTGAGCCAGAGCAACTGAAGAGCGAGCAGTCCTTGAAAGTACCCGAGACTCCATCTGAGCTCCTTCTGCATTCAGGAGGCCAGAATTCAGGTTGTGTTTTCCTGCTCAGAAGGATCGCAGCTGACGTGATGTTTTCTTTTCAGATCCTCATCGCCATACCCAGGAATGCAGTGGAAAACGCAGAGTATGTGTTTTGTGGGAGCGTGGGATTCTCCTCGCGTTGCCGTGGGACGCCAGTGAAAGCTGGGCACCGAAACGCTGTTGAGGGCTCGGGCTATCACTGTTTGGGTAAACCGTATTTGCAGATCACCTTGAGATGCAGCAGTTCAGCTTTCTGCCTTGTCAGTAGAGAACTGTGCTGGGGTCAGCTCTCTTCTCCGCTTTAGTGTAGGTTTTGTGGTCAGCATGAAGGTGGTTGGTGGAAGTGCTCAGTTTAGACACTGGAAAAAGCACTTCCTTCATTTAGGCTCATTGTTTCGTTTCCTTTCCTCCGAGGGGCTGGGGAAAGTGCTGAGCCGGCTTGTTCTGAGTGGCATCAGTGCCCAAACAGTCACCAGTTCCAGTGAGAACGAGGCTGACATCACATCTTGCTCTTCTGTTCTTGCAGGGAGAAATGCCGTGGTTCTTGCACTTCGGGGCCACTGCCTGTGGACTTGTAAGTCGGGCTGCATGGACTCGGCACCTGTGAAAATCACCTTTTTGTTCCTGAGGTAATGGTGAAAGCTGTGAACCAGGACAGGCCTCAACTTCCCGTCAGATAAACGGAGATAGAGGAACAGGGCACTGAAGCATCCATTGTTTTTCTTACTCGCTAAAGGTTGGCCAGGGAGGCTTTGGAAAACCCAGTGTTTTGAGACACCCCCTCCCCCTTTGGTCTGTCAAGCTATTTGTGTCTCAGAAACGCCTCTATTCCTTTCCAGAGGGAGAGGTTTTAACCTGCTTCTTGTCCTTTTCCCAGCGAGTCCCAGCCTTGGAGAACAGCCGTGCAGCTCAGGGTCCGGCAGGGAAGCAGCAGTGTCACATCAGAGCCCCGGCACTGGCCCTACCTTCCCGACCCACTCCTCAGCTCAACCCGGGAGGTGAAGGAAAAGCAGCCCCGAAAGCTCCTCAGCTCAAGCCGGGAGGTGAAGGAAAAGCAGCCCCGAAAGGCTACACAAGCGGGCTGTGACCGATTAAACATACGGAGAGCAAGGGAGCTATAGCTAGGGCAAAGTCACTGTCAGATGGCTCTGTCCTGTTAAACAAAAATGCTATATAAACAGGAAGGGTGGAAAAGGATATTGCTAGAGAAAGAGCAGCCTCTCCCTCTTGCTCTCCTGCTGTGAGGAATGCAATAGGAAATTCCTGCTCCAGGATTAACAATCGTAAGGAAAACTCTAGTTAAAAAAGCATGTGTGTAAAGCACTGGTGAAAAGTGAAGATACCATTCCAGCCACTGCTCTAGCATATAAACACAGACGAGATTTCCCTGCTTAAAAACAAAACAAAAGCCAAATATGGGGATGTAAAACTAAGAGTTTGCCTTAGGAACGACTCTAAGAGATCAGGCCCATTCTTGATAGTGATCTGGGAAATTGCAATAGGGTTGATTCTAACCATCTATTTTTAAATTTTCTAACGGGGATGTAAAATGGAGACAGAGAGCTGTAACTCAAGATAGGTGGAGTGAAGCCAAGCAGTCCCATGCTGGCGCGTTGTGCGACGAGAGGCGAGAGCGTGACCCAGTCCCAGGCAGCTGCGGCAGCACCTCGCCCAGCGCTGGCGCAGGGCTGTGCGGTGACGGTGCAGTCACAGCCATGCTTTGCACCGGGCCACCATCTGAACCTCGCCTGCAAACTGGCACTGAGCAGGAAGCACGCGTTGGGTGTACCTTCGCTAGGCCTACCATAAATCTTGAGGTGGTATTTATGGGAGTTCTGATGACCTGTCAAGCAGTCGACGGTACTCGCAGCTCGAAGGGCAGAGCTGGGATGCAGGGGAGGTCTCTAGCTGAGATGTCTCCATGGTGCTGTGCAAATGACGCCGCTTGGCCGGTGGTGTTCTCAGCCATTTTATTTTACACCGGCAGTAGTGAAGGGCCCAACCTTTGCACCACAAAGAGCCTAATCCTAAATTTTGCCTGTATGCCCATCAAAAAGCAAATGCCGCTGCATTTGTTTGGTAAATACACAATGCGCTCATCCTGTAGCCCTAGCAAACCTGAAGCTCCTTTGATGCAAAGCACACAGGTTCGGGCCACTGCTGTGGAAAAAAAACCCGTATGAAAAAAGCGTCTTGCAGTCGGCATCCGGTAACTCAGCGTTTTGCTTGACTGCACCAGGGAAACCCGCGGCTTTGTGCAGTAGGTGCCTTCCCCGGGGATGCAGGCGGGCCCTTTGGGGAAGCAGCGGTCGCCCCCCGCCAGCGACGCGGGACGTGCCGGCCCGGGGGCGACAAGGCGCCTGGGGATGTCCTGTGGCTTAGGCCAGTTCTCTAAAGGTGCCGGTGGCCAGCCTTGCCAAGCTGCAGCCTCCTAAAACCACGGGAATGATGCTGCGGGCTCGTGGGGGCAAGGTTTACCTTCTCCTCAGGTCCGCACTCCTGGGACTTTGGAGAGCAGGCTGACACACGTCTTCTCCCAAGCGTAAACACAAAACACCGATGCGCCCGTTCTTAAATATGCCTGTGTATGAAGCCGCCATCCGCTAGACCTGCTGCTCTGGTTCCTGCTTGTCCTGAAACTGGTCGGGCCAGGGCCTCGGGAAGGTGTGGGCAATAGCGTTAATGTACGTTGCGATGTAAAGTGGCGGCTGCTGTTGCTTTCTGCCACTTGAGATGCATGCTGAAAGTACGGCTTTTAGGGCGTGCAGGCAGCTCTGCCTGCGTTTCTGAACAAAATGTCAGCTATCCCGCAGAACTGCACATTTCCTATTTTCAGTCCTAGTGGAATATTTGATGCCAGTACAAATAAGCACTAAAAATAGAAAGGGGGGGAAGCAGCCACTGGTTTCGTTGGCTTTTCCAGAGACCAAGATGAACTTGGTTTTCCAGTGGTCACTGGTCCATCTGACTGCTCGGAACAGTATGGTGGTTGGCTACAATATACACTGTCACTTAGCAAAATCACGTTGCCTGTTCGCTCAAATTAAAGTGTAAAGAACAAAGTTCCGGAAGAAATTAAGAGTATAACTTGTTTACATAGACATCTGCGGAGCAGAGTTCAAACACGACCATCTGGAGTTGTATTGCTGCCACTTCTGATTATCACAAATAACGATCTGGGAGAGCAGCTGCCAGCTTTGCTCTGTCATAGGTCAGCTCTGAGCAGTGTCCACTTGGCCCTTCCAAGGGAGCGTATAATCAGTCCCACGTCCACCAAGATGGGACCGGCTATGGGCTCCTGTCTTTCAAGTGGAAATTTCCATATCCTGTGTTTCAGATACTTTCTGAAACTTGAATGAGGGGGAACAATGCTGGCAGCTTCCATCAGAAACTTGCCTAAAAGGGCAAAAATAACATAATGACATGCTGAGCATCTCGATAGGAAGTTTGCAATTGTCTTTTGAGCAAAGCGTACAAACACTTGTAGCTACTGCCTTCAGTCGCCTTGTGCAAAGGCTCTCACAAAGCATTTTTGTGTGCCCAAGGCAGCAGGCTTAGACTTTCGTGATTAAAATAGAGACTTCTGCAGCTGACAAACGCCGTGCTGGGAGTGTGAAGCAAACTGTGCTCAAAGGCTTGTTAAAAGAAATGCGGTTAATTGTAAGCCAACCAACTCAATGTCCTTTCTCTTGCTTTTCTAGGATGGCTTCTGTCGTTTCTTCAGCAGACACGGGTCCCAGCCGGCTGACCAGAGCAGTACCATAAGCAATGCGATCATGGCTGCAGCGGGGTTTGGAATAGCAGGATTGGCTTTTCTCTTGGTGGTGCGGTAGGCTGATGAATGGATCTTGCCATGGGAAAGTACTCACAAAACTGACGGTTTACCAGATTTCACTCTATTTTCTATAGAACAGACCCTCTAAGAAGAAGTTTATATTTTTAAACTGGCTCGGAAAACTATCTCACCAAATACTTGGCTATAAACTGCTTCACTCGCTACCCAGTAACAGCACAAACAAATGTGTACTAAACCACCATTTGTGCATGGTCAAAACCTGTCGTCTCCAAACATCCTCTGGACTTTCTTTTTGAAGGTGTAACCTAAACTTTAGCATGGTTCATGTACTGTAACTTCTGAGTGCTCAATGTTATGCTAGGAAAACGTTATGGTGGACTTGCTACTAAACCCTCTGTTCGAGACGTCTTATTTACATGGAGGCAAGTCTTGGAACCTGCCTTCCATTAATACTGTAAAGTGGCGAACGTTGACTGTGACTTAACATGATTTATGGCTTCAAATGCAGTGCACAGCACTTGTTACCGAAAGGCAACTCATTGGTTGATTTAGAGCAATTACTGCCCGTGGTGTGAGAGGCATTAGGGCTTAATATAACATAAGGCTGATTTCATTACACTACAAGAAGATAAGAATTGATACAGGACGGTAATGGCTGCAGTAGTGGTTCTTACTGAAAGGAAAGGAATTTAAAATATTAAACCTTGATTGGTATATTGAAATCCAGTGGAGGCTGGAATTTCTCTGGATTTCCTTGAGAAAACGAGAATTTCCATATATCTTAATATATTTTTGAAGTATTTATCACTGTATAATACTTGTAGCCATGACATCTTTATTTTTGTTTAAAACGTAATGCTGGTTCTTGTCACTCTAGTGCGTATCAAGCGTTGTCTTGTTTGAGTAATATTTCACTCTATTTTCAACATGCTGTGTATTTCTCTCAGTGGTTGTACAAATTGCCTTATGTTTCTGGTAGCTTTTAATAACGTTCCTGCGTTACTCATAGCGTGTACAATTTTACTATAGTGACTTCAAAGGTGAATAAATGTTAAGTATTTTTATTTTAAAAACCTTTCTGCTTACTTGATCGGATGGGTGATGGTACTCGGACAGTGAGTGTTTCGGTGCTTACCTGGATGCATCAGTTTGTACCCACCTTCCTGGTGCTTTGACCTGAAACGAGGAGCTGTGCAGCACCAGAGCAGTGTGATACCAGCCTTCGTTGCAGAGGAGTCCTGCAGTCAGAACTAGGGGTAAGACAGCCTAAGGGGAAAATCCAGTCCAAAAGGCCCATCTTCACCACTGCGACTGGAAATAACCTGGTGGTTTTGTAGGCCAAAATTTTCCAAAGTTTGCTAGCGTAGCTGGGTACAGACAGGCTCCTCCGAGAGCTGCTCCTGCTTGTAGAGAGCGACAAAGCTCTTGTTTATTCTCTGCCAAGACTTGCTGCTGCCTTTCTCTTTCACACATGCACGCTTTTTTACCAAAACTGGAGTTTCTGCTGGGAGTTACGATAAAGACTGAGCAATAGGTGATGGAGTTCAACCCTTCTCAGATTAGTAATACTGAGCAGCTGTAATTTTTGAGGGTGTTGGGCTTAACACTTTTAAAAAGCGGTCTCATGCTCCCATCTCCAACTCAGATGTTTCTGTGGCACTGGTGGCTCTGATGCCTGTTGAACGGTGCAAGCCCGTTGTTCAGCCTCCCTCCCTGGCCGCCCGTTGGCCCACCCCTCTGCCCTTCGAGAGGGTATGACCCTTCATGGGAAGAGCACCCGGCGGGCGGCAGGCTTCCTCTTGGGAAAGATCAGCCTGGCAGCCGGGTCGGCATCGCTGTGGCCGGCAGTGGCCACCCTGCTTCTCCTCCTGCTGGCCACCGGGCCCTGGGGTGGGGTGTGCGGCGGGGGCTGCGCCCCCACACTGGACAGAGCGGCGTTGTGCCGGCCGGCCGCAGATGCGGGGAGAAGGACAAAAAGGGACATTCAGGGACGGTAAGTCCCGCGGAGGCGGGAAGGAGCTGGCAGTCCTCCCCCTCACGCCGCCTGCTCTGAACAAACGTCTGCTTGTTCTCTGACTTCCAGTTCTCTAAACTCTGGCTTGGCTCCTCTCAGCGAAAGGATTAAGACCCTGCGGCGTGGGACCGTCGTGCTCAGTTCCTCTCTTGAGTTCTCACAGGGACGGCGCCTGCTTCTGCGGCAGCTGGATGCTCTCGGGCATCTGCCTCCAGTCCTCCTGGGTGGCCAGGAGGCTGCGGTGCTTGAAACTGGCTACGGTGGGAGTGAGCTGGCTGGTGCTGGGAAGTGAAGGTAGTTTCCAAAACGTGGGATGCTTAGGGGGATGTGTGCTGAAAAGCATGGCAAACGACAGGGCAAGAAATGGTCTAAACAGAGGTCAAATGTTGCATGGAAACGTCCTGCTGCGGATCTCAATGTCTCCCCAATATCAAGCAGGACAAAGATAATATATCAGTATCTTGATTTCCAGTGTAACCTGATCTGGCAGGCCCCACAACAGCAATAGCGGAGAGGATGTTATGCTGGTTTTCACACTGTGCTCTGGAAAAGAGAAGAAAACAGTCTGGAAACGTCCTTGAGTAAAGTCACATCAGCCTTTGGCGTAAACCTGACCCTTGACAAGGTGCAGCTTGGAGAGTGTCTGCCACTCTTCCTTGGCCTGGGAGAAGCTGGGGGTAGGTTTCCTAAGAGCTAGAAGAACCGGGGGTAATTTAGGAAAGCTGTAAGGCTCAGACAGGAGACTGCAGTGCAGTCAGCAGCGTAGAAGCAATGCTGCCTGTGGCTGCCTGGAGCCAGGCTGCTCCGGTCTCTGCTGGCAGCCCGCACCCGAGGGTGCTCTGCTCAGCCACCCTGAGAGCAGTGGGCACAGCCCAGGCCGCCAGGACCCACGCTCCCTGCCCTGGCACTGGCAGGGGGTCTGCCTGTCCCAGCCAGAGCCGTGCTCCCCAAGCCCCTCTCTGCTGCCATGGGACCGTGGTGATGTAGGATTGAAGACTAGGGCTTAAATCACTGGAGCCCCATTGATTTCGGGCCAGTTTAGACTAACTTACATTTGCCTGACACTTCTGATTTTTTAAATGTTTTTTTCCTTCGTTTCAGCCTGACCGTTTGCCTCAATGAAGTCCTGTATTTCAATTGAAAACTGCTGCTCATCCTCTTTTCTGCCTCAGAAAAGGGAAGCAAGATGCTGCTGTTCCTTTCTTTAAATGCAGAAGGAGAGTAGGTGGTGTTTAAGCACAAGGCTGCGTCTAATCCTCATGACAGCTTTCAGATCTTCAGCGTTGGTGTGCTTCCCGGGCAGGTGGTGGATGCAGCAGGCTTCATCCTATCTAACAATTAGCACGCAGTAATTGCTGTAGGCTCTGCTGGGGCCCCAATGTGCCTACGCCTGCAGAAGCCATCAATCGTGGGTCGCTCCGAGGCGCCCGAGTGCTGGGCAGGGTCTTGTGTTCGAGGGGAGAGGAGAGAAGTGAAGGTGCTGGCTGAGCTGTGGCCACGACCTGGCTGCTCGTACCAGTCCTGAGTC